TCTCTAAGCAGCGTAATTTCATGATACATGAATAAATTACTTGATTGTATTAAGATAATTTAATTAATTAATTGACATTTAGAGCGCTCGTGTTGAGAATGTTGGAGAAAGAGATGAGAATAGAAATGAGACCTAATTTATCGATTATCTCAATTTATTATAGTATACCTTGGAAATATTTCTTAATCAATGAAAGAAAATTTTTAGGTTAACCTTTTTTATATAGTTAACGTATAATTAAATAAGAAAATGACTCATTACGGGCGTTCATTAAATAAGAATGAACAATTGAATGTTAATTACAAGGATAAAAAGCATACCAACGTTTTCTGCGTACTGAATATAATGAATAATAATGTATTAACGACTGAATAAGCATTATTACTGTGGCCTGTCGCCGATTCTTGAACTTTTCGTGACTTGTTCACAGAAGATCTAAAATCGTGTCATTTGACCGGATCTTTTCGTGACTGACGATAGTTTGAAGTAGACTTCCACCTAGACTTCCTTTGCCTAGACTTCCACCGGGTTCGATATGGTGCTAGGCATTTCAAATCTGAACATATATTTTCCATAGCTTTATCTGTTCTGGAAGGCGTTCATACTCGGAGCGCCATCGATGTAATCTGGAAGCTGTTGAAGTGCTGTTCCACATGTCGGTGACTCGAAGCTAGAAGAAATGTTATCGCGTGGACAAGTTACAGCGCAGTTTTTTTTCAGTTGCTCTAGAAAGTTATGGTTCACTTTTTGTTTACAAAATAGATCGCTTATTTTGAAGGCTAGTAACATAAATTCTGACTAGTATGCTGTGGCAAAGTCAGTGGCATCGACTGTAGTTTCTATAATGAATATGAAGAATAAACCCAAGGCCGGTCCAGTCGATGGCAGTTATGAAGTGCTATTGCCAGACTTTCACCTACTTTTTTTACTCCTCTCCCTCACCTAACCTACTTTTTTTACTCCTCTCCCTCACCTACTTACTCCTCTCCCTCCCTCCCCCTCACCTACTTATTCCTCCTCTCCCTCCCTGTTTCACCTACTTTTTTTTACTCCTCTCCCTCTCTTCCCTCACCTACTTATTCGTCTCCCTCCCTCGCCTACTTGCTCTTCCCTCCAATCTCGGAACTCGTATGAGCGTCTGATTAGTCCAAGAAGTTTGTTGGATGTGTTAGCTTGCGTTTCAACATGCTTAGAAAATTTCAGCTCCTTGTCGACATNTTAAATCCTTATGAATATTTTATTTATAAATGAAAAGTATTGTTTAAAAACATGTTTTTTCGCATTTACGTTAAATTATTATTTTTTTATGTAAATTAGTTGCAAGTTTTTGAGACTTCACTCTTGTTTTATCAGAACTTTAATACTATTTAAATTCATTTAAACAATGATGAAAATACATTCGTTGGTACAATAATGAGTGATAAAGGAATCCATGATTAATGCTGATTAATATACATAAATAAATATAGTACTCTAGTTATATTGCCTTCGTGATTATTTAAACCCAGTAACACTTATTGCGTTAATCTGGATATCAAGCCGTATAATGTCTTTAACATCACTCGTCAAGGCTAACGTTTTAATGTCTCTTCTCACTTGGGTTTAACTATAATTATTTTTAACTTTAATTTGAATAATTTCGTAGAACTTTTCAGCCCGGCACGGCACGTCCCATACCCATTGAGTGTTGACGCTGAACTTTATTTTTTCGAAGTTGAAAATAGAAGCCGTGAACTGGAATCATTCAACATTCATGCCTGAGTAATAAATTTGTCCGATGCCAACTTCATCGAGGCACTTGGATTTAAATCATCAGTTTATTTAGCTACGTGAATACAGACGATGTTCTATGAATAAGTTCATATCTTTTAGAACCAAAATTCCCTGCTCTAGGTTACTTGACTGGCCCGCACTTCAGCGGCTAGACCCACTAGTTTATAGTCTAGTAGCTCCTACTTCTGAAAGACTCCACTGCTGTAGTTCGGCGGTGTTCTTCAGGTCTTAACTGTTCTTCGGCTGCTGTAGACCTTAGATGTTCTTCGCTTCAGGGCGTCTCAAGCGAGAACACTCATCCCAAAGAGCCCATAATAACTGTAAATAGAGCAGTTATTCAATTTATTCATTACTCTAATCCGGCTCCTAACTGCAGAATAAAATGAACTGTATACAAGTCGCCGTAAGCTTGCATGGTCTTACATTATAACCAGACGTTGAAATAACTGAAATTATGGCAGAGAAAAAAGTTTTTTACGGAAAGCTCGTGGCAAGTCTATAACTAAACGCAATTCCGTTGGCAAGCTGAAGACTTCTCGTTCACCGCAATCACCAAGACCCTCAGATGGAGCGAGACATTTATCATTAATACACAATTGACCAGCATCCCCTCACCTTCATGCCACTCTGATGGAATGACACGTCTACATTTTTTAATTAAAATGTACAATTTCCAGTGGCCATACCATCATAAATTGCTCAAGTACACGTAGCGGACCAAGTACACGTAGCGGACCAAGTACACGTAGCGGACCAAGTACACGTAACGGCCAAAGTACACGTAGCGGCCAAAGTACACGCAGCGGCCAAAGTACACGTAGTGGCCCAAGTACACGTAGCGGCCAAAGTATACGTAGCGGCCCAAGCACATGTAGCGGCCTAAGAACAAGAAGCGCTTTAAGTACACGTAGCTGTCAATTTCTTGTCTGATTGGTGATTTTAGCTTAAAAAGCCGTCGGTGATTGGCTAGCCGTGTAAAGAACTCCTAGTTATTTTCCGACAGTAAGGACCACAATGAACAAAAACTTTAAAAGGGGAAATAAAAAACAGAGCCCGGGATGGCGCCATATTTTAGATGATGCCGATCTTGTTGGCGACGTCGAGCGCGTCGTAGTCGGACGCCAGCTTCACGTAGGCCTTCTTGAGCCCATCAGGTCTGATGAGCGTGTTGATCTTGTCAGTGTTGATCTCGTACAGCTGCAGGGTGAGGGATCAGACCTTTAGTTGAGACCAGCAACAGTTGAGACCAGAGTTTGGACCAGCAACAGTTGAGAGAAGAGATTAGACCAGCAACAGTTGAGACAAGAGTTTAGACCAGCAACAGTTAAGACAAGAGTTTAGACCAGCAACAGTTGAGACCAGCAACAGTTGAGACACAAGAGTTTGGACCAGCAACAGTTGAGACCAGCAACAGTTGAGACCAGCAACAGTTGAGACCAGCAACAGTTTAGACCAGCAACAGTTGAGACCAACAACAGTTGAGACCAACAACAGTTGAGACCAGCAACAGTTGAGACAAGAGTTTAGACCAGCAACAGCTGAGACAAGAGTTTAGGCCAGCAACAGTTGAGACCAGCAACAGTTGAGACCAGCAACAGTTGAGACCAGCAACAGTTTAGACCAGCGACAGTTTAGACCAGCAACAGTTGAGACAAGAGTTTAGACCAACAACAGTTGAGACAAGAGTTGAGACCAGCAACAGTTGAGACAAGAGATTAGACCAGCAACAGGAGAGTCTACCTCACAACACGGCAGCTACACGACTAGTCACTTAACGCTAATTAGGTTGAAATTAAATTAAATTACATTGTAAAGTCTCTCGTTAAATCAATGCAAAAATAGCTTGGAGAAATCTAGCAGAGGCAAAAACTTTAAAAATGAAGTACAAACTTCAAGGGCAAACATGTAAACAAACTTCAATCATATATGATTGAAAGCAGAATAAGGCCATGGAATTAATAAAAAGAAGTTAACAAATTTATTACTTAATAGACCGAAATGAAAATAAAGTTAAGATTTAATATTTTTGAGGATATTTCAAAGTGAACATAGCCTCAAGAAAATTGTAAGCAATCAAATTCTGCAATTGCTACAAGTTGATTAACATATTTATTCATCTAATAGCTAAATGAATAATAAAATAAATGCAAAACTGCCTAGAGCAAATAAATTCAGCAATTTTCACTAGCTAAGAATAAAAACTCAGCGAGCAGCCAACTGAATGCGAATAATTGTAATGTGTGAACAACTACGAGTTCACCAAAACCATATCTAAATGAGGGGAAACAATAACTAAACGCATTAAAAAATATATAATAATAATAAACATACCTTCTTGACGGCCATCTTGATCTGATGCTTGTTAGCGTTGATGTCGGTGATGAAGACGAGCGTGTTGTGCTCCTCGATCTTCTTCATAGCGGCCTCCGTGGTGAGGGGGTACTTGNTTAGTCTGGACTCTCCACCCGAGCCACCCGGCCATGATTGCATCTGAGGCCGTACAGCCTCGGGTCTCATCGAGACACGCAAGCCCCCCCCCCACGACAAGGACGAGATGGCACGGGGGGGTAGTACTTGATGATGCTGTACTTGTCCAGCCTGGGTACACAAGTGGTACCCAGGTACATTGAGTTACAGAAAGATTGTACACCAAGAAATCGTTAGAACATCAATTATTGTCAAGCATTTATACCTGCTCATCCTGGGTGGCTGGACTTGCCGGGGAAGCTTGAGAGTGGGACATATGTGCAGTGCTTATGTCTAGCATGTATATATGGCTGGTATATACTCAATGCCTAGCATGTAATTATGTCTAATATTTATGTCTAGCATGTATCTATGTCTAGTATATGTGTTACATCTAGCATGCATATACATATGTCTACCATGTAACTATGTCTAGTACCTATGTCTGGCATGTTACTATGTTTAGTATATATGTTTATTATGTACTCATGTCCAGCATTAGTANGTGGTACCCAGGTACATTGAGTTACCAAAAGATTGTACACCAACAAATCGTTAGAACATCAATTATTGTCAAGCATTTATACCTTCTCATCCTGGGTGGCTGGACTTGCCGGGGAAGCTTGTTGTTATGTGAAGTGCTTATGGCCAGCAGTTGTACCTGGTCTAGCATGAACTTATGTCTAGCATGCACTTATACTCATCATGTACTCCTGTCCAGCATTAGTACCTGGTCTTCCTAGGCATGCTCTTCCTGGGGTACTTGGGCTTGCGCGGCAGCTTGAGTGTGGCACATATTTGAAGCATCTATGTCTAGTACCTATGTCTGGCATGTTACTATGTTTAGTATATATGTTTATTATGTACTCATGTCCAGCATTAGTACCTGGTCTTCCTAGGCATGCTCTTCCTGGGGTACTTGGGCTTGCGCGGCAGCTTGAGTGTGGGACGAACATGGAAGCGACAGGAGGTCCTGATCCTCTTGATACGCACGCCATGGCGGCCCTTGATCACCTGCAACACAAATGATTTGTTTACATCACTTGTGTAAAATATGAATAACCTGTTTGAAACATAATATGTGTAAAATATGAATATATTGTTTGAAACATAATATGTGTAAAATATGAATATATTGTTTGAAACATAATATGTGTAAAATATATAAATAACTTTTTTAGCACATAATATGTGCAAAATATAAATAAATTTTTTGACACATAGTAAAAATGGTAACTATAATCTAATTGCAGAGGTGTGTGGTGACAACAGAGGTGTGTGTGGTGACAACAGAGGTGTGTGTGGTGACAACAGAGGTGTGTGTGGTGACAACAGAGGTGTGTGGTGACAACAGAGCTGTGATGCTAACACAACTTGACAATGTATTTTTTTCACATTGACAAAAATTTTTATATACACTGTCATTGATTCAATTTTTGTTGTCCATGATGTAAATGAAAATCGTTCATTGTCTTCAGAGCATAATATTTTCAATGGGATATTAATTGCCCAATTTACATTTAATACTAGAAATTCTCAATATAACTTAAATTCCAAAGATTGGGCTCACAATATTGAAATAATTTTCAATAAATTGAAGAATTTTGAATAGGAACATCTATTTGGTAACCTGTATAAAACAATCAAGGTAAACCTGTATAACCTGTATAAAACAATCACCTGGTTACATGAATACATATGTAAATTTAATTATTTTAGCTAATTTCAAAATAGATTTTAATATACAATTTAGAAAGTTATTGTCATTGTAAAATTTTTCAGTTTTTGAAGAGACATGAAAGGATGAAAAGTAATGAAGGAACTAAGATATATGCATCTTTCCCATAAAAACACTATAATTAATCAAATATATGGCACTTTCTTAAGTGGTGCTAGGCACTGTCTCCAGGGAAGTTTGTCATAAGAGCATTTGTCATTAACATGTCAAATAGAACTTTAAACAATGCTCTATGACATCCAAATAAATTGTTACACAACTATAAATCCCGCGTTATACACATTATATATTAGCAATATCTCTATAATTCACATGTTATACACATGTATATATCATGCATAAACAAGTTACCCTGGTCGCTGTGTCAATAGCCTTCTTGATAACCAGCTTCTTCTTCTTGGGCTTGACAGCAGCAGCCTTGCCGCCCTTGACAGGCTTGACGGGCTTGACAGACTTGACGGACTTGACAGGCTTCTTGGCCTTGTCCTGCTTTGGTGGTGCAGGCTTGGTGGTGGGGCGGGCGGCAGGCTTCTTGGCCGCCGCTGAAATTCACAATTGCATTACTCATAAAGTCATAATTGATGATATAGGACGCCAGAATTTAATTTTTTTAAATGAACTTAAATGAAACCTGCTTAAATACAGGGTTGTTCTAAATGATGGACCAAATTTATCAAGTTTGCATTAATTTAAGTTTATTAAGTTTAAATCCAAAATGAATAATTCATACACTAATGGAAAGAGAAGGATTCAACGTTTTTTTTTTACATATTTATAAATGTTCAAAATGTCCCTAGTGACATCTTGATCTCCAAAACTTTTTGAATCAGTTACTTCCTGAGCAGGACGCTTAGGAAATGAAGATCAGGCTCTACACTTCTGGTCTCCGAGATCACCTGATCTTACCCCATGTGACTATTTCTTATGGGGTTACGTCAAGGAAGCTGTTTACGTCCCGCCTCTACCAGCAACTCTGTTTTGTAAAGGTTTTACAGAATTATAGGTTCCCAGGAATTACAGGTAAATTTCCCAAGAATGTACAGGTAAAATGATCATTTCACAAGTAAATTTTAAAGTAATGGGAGGGATTGTGCAATTAAAATTTTAATTATTGGATTTAGGAAAAGGCTATGGGGCAGGGTATATATAATCCCAAGGTGGAATAACATATGTGGATTTTTTTCTTTGAAATATTAACAACAGATAATGTAAAGGATAGAAATTTATTCATTGAAAATGTCATTGCCAGGCAGTTACAGTGTAATTGTAAGAAAGTTAGTTTCATTTAGTTAAACAAGAAGCATCATGCACAGCACATGGGTATTGTCTAATGCCTGGGGATGAACGGGACTGGTTTTTGGGCATGGTGGAATTATGGAAGAGACTTTTTAGCGTATTTTCTCATTTATGGAAAAAATGCACTATTGTGCTCGCCATGTCCATCTGTCTGTCCGTCCGTGACCACATTTTTGTCAATGAGAAAATGCGCTCTCTGTCACTCACTGCAGTGAGTACTGAGTTATATTTTTAGCATTGTTTGTCCATAGACATCACACTCTCCACCTGCAGAATGACATGTGGAGTGGGGGTGGTAATTTTGGGTTAGTCAACCATCCTCATGACATATTTTCAATCAAGAAAGAGTTCTAATGTCCAATAAAGTAACAGTTCTAATTTTTCTCAAAGTTCATACAGGGGAACAGATTTAATATTTTGAACTTTCTAATGTTTTACTTTTACAATAGGTATATATATTACATTTTGAAAAGTACAGTTCACTGTGAACAATAATTGATCAAGCACTTTTGCTAAAAATTTGAGGAAGGAATTTGTATATCAAAATTCTCAAGGCTCAATAAATGGCATGAAAAAATATATATTGCATTACTCAAAAAGATATATTGCATCCATGGTTGAAGGCATTCAAATATCAGACATGAAAATGCTCCTAGATCATGGCTTATAGTTTCAGTGAAATCAGATTCTTTTATATTTACTTTGAAATGGCGGCACCATGCAGGCAATAGTGAACTTATGAGGAAAATATCTATTCTCTGAACCATGGCTGGATTTTTCAAGCCATGGTTTTATGGATTTGCACGCCACGATTTCATTTCTTTGAGCCGTGAATTTAATATCTCGGCCATCATTGGCCATGAAGTGCCATTTACAAGCAGCAAACTCATTTACAAAGTCCTGTAAATGTGTTACCCCAAATCTCTAATTTACCCTAGAAACAGCAACAATACATTGGTCTTTACTATTAGTGGCAACTGAACATGTGATAATGCAGTCTGACCACTCTGACGTGACTGCAACTATGTAATGATTGTGATTTGCGATAGCAAGTAAAAAATATATAAGGACATGAGGAAGGATCACAAACAAAAATCACTAAGCACTTGATTCATAGGCTCTACTTGTTATCATGACATTGGGAGCGTTGAAGTACTGCATAAGTTGAAAAATTGTATGAAATGACATTTTTGCAAAGTACAAAACTGATTTTTTCAATCAAACAAAAATACATGACATTAGAGCTGCAAGATTTTATACCTACTGAAATTAAATGATAGAGCATCAAAATTTTCAAAAAAGTAAGACTTTCCCCAACTAGATAGTTAATTATTGGAATGAAACTGATTACAATTTGATTTGATACCACTGTGCAGAGAGTGGATGAATATTACTAGATCTTTGGCAACGCTTCAGTAGCAAAATTTACGCCTTCAGAAGATCTTGCCAACACATTTAGATTGAAATTCTTGCATTTAATATATTTGTCAGTCTCCGGCCAACTATTTTAAAAAAAGTAAGGTTTCTGGTAAGTTGGATGGATCAGGATGCAATGAAGCTTGTCCGGAAATCAGTTGCAATGAGTTCCCGCCTAAAATGTAAACATCAAGTTTACAATTACGTAGTTGCGGTCACATTAGAGCATTATCACATGTTCGGTTGACACTTGCTGTACAATCGGACTGATTTTAGGGTAAAATTAGTTATTTGGGGTAACATGTGCATGCAACCTTGTAAATAAGTTTGTGGCTTGTAAATAGTTTTTCAGTACTCAGCGTAAATGGCTTTTCATTAAAAATTACCCTGCAACACATCTTAAAATTACCCGGCGACGCTTAGGGCTTAAAAACCCATATATTGGCGACGCTGCATCCACCCTCTGCGCCCTGGATTTGATACTATAATTCCACCCTGGTCACAGTCACAGAAAAACATTGTGGCATTTTATACATCTGTTTTGGACACATAAAAACTAATTCCAATACAGCTCGGAATTAGACACACACAGCTCGTTCCGAGCTGTATCGTATTCCCTTACAGCTCACACTGTCACACACACACACACAGGGCGTTGGAATTCCAACACAAGGCGTCGGAATTACGAATTACGGTTTTTGGGTTTTGAAGCATTCTCAGAATCAGTCTCACAATATGCTGAATTTAGTCACACACAGCATCAGAATTCAGCGATTTTGTAGATTTGAATTCTAAAGGCTTTTAAATAAATATGGCAACAGTTTGTGACGTTTCATCATTGCTGGCCCCAGGGCCCGTAGTGTGGTGTTTTGACTTTTGAGAGCGACGTAAACCAATCAGAACTCCAGTTACGCATATGGTGATCTTTTTATAGCCATTAATTTCTTGCTACGTCCTTAAAGTGTCCGAATACGGTGTGTTTACCCTTGGTATGTTAAACAATCTTTTTCACCCAGAATTTTTAGAAAATAGCTAATTCCAAATATTCCAGATTAGCTTTTGGACACAATTCCCCACTTAGCCTATTATTTACATTCAAAGGATTTATGAAAAAATTTTGAAGCAGATGAGGCAATTAAAAATGAATTGAGTGAAAAAATTCCTCGTTTGCTACTATAACATAAATGATTAGTATTGACTACAACTTAGGTAGCTACAAATAGGCCTACCTTAGCTACCTACAAGAACATCCTAAGAAGAGGTCTAGGCATAAAAAAATAAGACTAGGGTACATGATATAAAATTAGCTCCAAACTCTTAAGCCATTATTTGAGATACTCACGTGCCAACTTCACTTGGCGACAGGTTTATCTGTAAAGAAAAGAAATATTTAATTACTATTGAAATAATGAACGTAGAATAAATTGAACAAATATTTGAATGTTGAAAATCAAACTGACTCACAGCTCACGCATCACTTCCTGAAAGTTGAATAGAACACTAAAGTCTTACAGAGTCCTACCGCTGTGTCTGAATTGGTATACACAAATTACTAGCAGAATCATCTCATCGTAAAATACGTTTATTCCAGCTAATACTGAATAATTTCGAAGCTTCATGTAGGCTCCTGTCATTGATATTTGTTAGCAGCCTAGCAGGCAATAATTTATTTCACTTCGCGGTGATAAAGTGTACTTGCATTCCGGTGAAAAAATTTACGCTTTCCCTTTATCACGTATTACTGATATTCATTATAAAATCTTGAAGTTCTAAATTGAAAGGTTTCATGTGGAAAAACAAAAGAAACCCAAATCTGGGAACAAAACCCCCAGATAGCCAACCGGCAGCGGCAGGAATGTCCAAGATAAAAGGAAATGAACTTGAACCCTGCCCTTCATCAGCACCAGAGAGAACTTAAGTCATAATTGATGATATAAGATGCCAGAATTTAATTTTTTAAACCCTGCAGTGGTTATATACTATAAAAAAACTGACAAAATTACTGGTATTTTCTGCCAATTTTGTCAAGGTCAACTTTTGTATGCATTGGAAATGTGTAATCCTATAACCACTGTACAGCATAACTGGTTATATTAAAAAAAAAAAGAATTGTCAATGCAACTAATTCTATGAACTTGAATGAAACCTGCTCAAATACAGGGTTGTTCTGAATGATGGACCAAATTTATCAAGTTTGTATTAAGTTTAAATCCAAAATGAATAATTTGTACACCAATGGAAAGAGAAAGATTCAACGTTTTTCTCACACATTTATAAATGTTCAATATGTCACAAGTGACACCTTGATCTCCAAAACTTTTTGAATCAGTTACTTCCTGAGCAGGACGCATAGGTAATGAAGATCAGGCTCTACACTTCTGGTCTCCGAGATCACCTGACCTTACCCCATGTGACTATTTCTTATGGGGTTATGTCAAGGAAGCTGTTTATGTCCCGCCTCTACCAGCAACTCTGTTTACGTCCCGCCTCTACCAGCAACTCTGTTTA